GTCACGTTTACAGCTGAACAAATTCCATCGACTGGCTCCACAGGCAGAACCCACACCAGTTCCAATCCCAACGTGGCTATGGTCCATTTGTCAGATGAAATTGGACGACTTTTAAATGCTAGTCTTTCAGTCAATACAAAACGAATGTATAGGAGTGCATTATGCAGTTTTCAACAATTCCGGACTCTATTTGGTATAGGACACAGTTGGCCGGTACCTCTGGCACACCTTCTGTGGTTTATAGCATTTCATTCTAATAAGGGCTCAGCACCCAGTACAGTAACCTCGTATTTATCGGCAATAAGCTATGTTCACAAATTACATTGTTCATTTTTTATTGTCAATAAAGCAGTGGAGGGGTTCAGGCGGTTAAGAGGTGGTCCAGATACAAGGGCTCCTATCACATATGATTTACTGCTTAAAATTTTTAAAGTGTTGCCCAGCATTGCAAAATCTTGTTACGAAAGTCAATTATTCAGGACAGCATACCGTTTAGCATTTTTTGGTTTGCTCAGGGTGGGGGAGATTATTTATACACCAGCTTTGGCGTCGAAATATCCTTTGCTCATTTCAGGTTTGATAATGGCCAAGGATAAGATAGTGGTAACCATATGCCATTCCAAAACTGACCAACGGGGACGGTCAACTAAAGTCTCAATTTCGAGAATCAACGAATGTCCAGTTTGCCCAGTAGTTAATATGGGGATGTATTTAAAGTTAAGACCTAAATGTGCTGGCCTTTTGTTTATACACCAAAATGGAACCCCATTGACACGTTATCAATTTAGTGCAGTGTTGAGGAAGGCAGTCAGTAGTCTGGGTCTCCCTAACCAGAACTGTAAATCCCACTCATTCCGTATTGGGGCTGCCACAACATTATCAATGAATGGTATTTCAGACGAACTCATCAAAAGGCTGGGCAGATGGAAATCAAAAGCATATTCATCATATATCCGGATAGACAAAATATTAAATTGATAAAACGAGTCAGACTAGGAGTTATCTCCCTTATACCAATCACCGTTAAATATGAGTAAGGCTAATACAGCCATAAGTATTTCAGATGTATGGATTATGGGATCTTCCATTGTCTACTGGGCGCACCGGAAGTCACATACATTGTCAGACCCTAACTTGCATCTGCAAAGTTTGGGGGGAACATCAAATGGCTGGGCAAGCGTGGAATGTCCTGGTTTGATGTGAGAGGAGCCTTGAACTATCATTTGAGCCGCCATTCTCCACCACATTTTCTTGTTATCCATGTCGGAGGTAATGATCTTACAACAACGCCAGCTTCAGAGTTATGTGCGCGGATTGAAAATGATGTGTTCACGCTAGCCAGGAACCTACCATCCTGCATATTTATATGGTCAGATATATTACCACGTCTACAGTGGCGTGGAGGGGAGTCAGTAGTAGGAATAGAGAAGAAACCCCAACGGGTGAATAGGGTAGGTCGTCGGGCAGTTCCAAAATGCGGGGGGTAGGGTGATCAAACATGTAGATATAACCTATGATTGTCCAGGGTTATTTCGAGAAGATGGAGTCCATTTAGATTATATTGGTAATGCAATTTTTCTCAATACATTACAAGGAGCTATGGAAACTTTCTTTGCCGGTCAAAGCTCACCTGACACTGTCAAATTAGTATTCGAATAAAGAGTTATCGGTCCTGGTGGGGGATAGATGGATGGTGGAACTGTATAAACAGTTCCAAGTGGCATGTTGTGGCGAGCAGGCATACTTTTATATAAATTTCAATATGTATAGGTTTTTTGTGTGTATTACATGTAGAAAGTGGGTAATGGCTTGCTAAGGTTTACCCTAGGAGTCAGTTAAACCCACGTATTATAAAGGGTTATTGGTTAATTCCCCATCTAACTTGCCTCGTGAATCCCAGGGAGTCGTGAGGGTGGAACTTTAATGTAATGGTATTTAGGATATATATTTAGTATGTTAGTAATACTTGCCAAGGCTGTAGCCTGGAAGTATGGTGGAGCTTCCTCGATCTGGGTAGATCGTCAAAGCTAAGGATAGTTGGTTTCTCCGGGGGGAGAAGGTTACGCAGTACTTGCCAAGGTTATACACTGGAAGGTTACGGTGGAGCCTTATAGGACAAGGCTAATTATAGTCTGGTACATGCAAACTCTGCCAAGGTTTACCCTGGGGAAGGTAAGTTGCTGATGTGTCCGGTACCGGTTGGTAGATACTCAGTGTGGTGAACTTACCGTTGCATGTACCATTTGTGTATTCTAGTCATTTATAATATAGAATATTATAGTAAAGTTCTAACCTGCTTTGGATAACCCAGGGGGAGGAAATTACCGGTCATTGTAAATGCCTGCTCGCCACATTTTTGGGGCAAATATATATCATTAAACAGGCTGCGGCCATTTAATCTCCAAACGAAGTGTATTTGTTATTATTACAGGAAACATCATAAAATAATAGACTATTTAAGTTTTGAGCTTAATGTTTCTAAATCAACGCAGGATGTATTTGTTTTTAGAATAATGATTCCACATAGTTGTGCATACACGTATTTGATATGATACTGATCGAAAACATCAAACGTCAACAGACATGTCAAATTTAGAATAAGATTATTGGTGTTCTTTCTGACATGGAATTCCAAATGGCATTCTTTAAATGTTACTTACATATAATTCATAGTGTATATATATAGAAGTTCTTTTCCGAATATCAATTATATCGCACTTTTCAAACTAAGAGAATTCAAGTTTTCAATAATCATTTTAGGTGCTATACCATCTGACCATTATTTCCATTCGTATACTAGAAGAAAAAATCTTTATCAGATAAAAGATTGTTGTAATTTCTTAACTTATTTTTTTTCCTGACACATGTTTAGGTTGATGCTTTAGGATTACGTTGAGCATGTTCATCACCAAAGCTAATTACGTTACATTAAGTTATCAGCCTATAAAAGGGACTCTTACGTTGAGTGTTATCTATGTTATCACTCAATGATATGTATATTGGTATTTACAACTCTTCTCAATATGTATGAGATTCAATGTACACCTCTAGACATAGTATTTCAACATCAATATGTTCTAAATCATATCGGTTTTCTCTATAAATGTTATTTTATGATAGATTAGCACACCACCAGCAGAGTTCAGGTCTAACCATCATGTGAATATTTATCAAATATATCAAATAAATGGACGACAATTTTCTGAGTTAGATATTAATTTGTGAAATGTTATCGACAAATATTAAGTAAAAGGAAGTATGATAATTTTCTTTAGATTATCATTGTCTCTCAAATAAATACAAGAATAAAAACATTTAAACTGTTATCAAAAACTAACATATGGTATATCTGCTTTCATCCTGTTTTTGTTCATATAACAAATTCACCTCTGAGCAAAAAAGGCCGTCATGCTTATAAGAGAGGGAAACAATGGAAACATTCTATGCTTGTTTCTGAATATATTTTCCAAAGAATGTTTATATGGTATCCATGTTATCTTTTCGAGATCTTCAGTAGTTACAGCTGTAAAAAGTACTATTTTTGGAACAACATTGGAATGTCATGGGGTTTCTGTTAATCACATAAGGGTGGGGCAGTAAGCACAGGTGCTTGTGATGTCATACACATGACATTTAAGAATATCTAATGTCATATCACTGTTAATTGCTAATTTGAAGTTTTTGTGGGATTTCTAGCCTTCACTATGACATCACAGTGCATTGGTGAAGTCATCATTAGCAATTTATGACGTCATAGTATCAGACTATATATATATGTAGTATCAATCTGCTTTCCAGTTATCTAAATTCACAGAAGCACAAACTACTCGATTCATTTTAAATTACAATTAAGACTTACTGAGGTCTTATTTTTTCAAATTGCCTCCCTTTATTCCTAATTTGAGAGCAGAATTGGTCACCATGCGAGCAAATCTATATTAATCGATAGCTATTCGATATACACAGCAAAGCGATATATCGATTTGTTCGTCTGATCATTTTCCAGACACTTAGAGGGATTTAATTAATTAGAATTTTAAAAAAATAAATCCTTCCTGAAAATGGTCTTGTCATCTTAAAGTGGACAATGTAGGGTTTAATTTTTTCAGAATAATATTTCAGTTTTATGTTAGAGATCGCTATTTGGGCTGTCTCGAATCTGTGTCTACGCACCAAAAACTAGCGTTACAGGAAGTGAAATTTCCATAGTGTTTACATGTGGTCATGTTATGAAAGATTTCCGAGTTGAAGTTTGCTGAAATGTAAGTTACCATGACAGTGTTGTTGATTGTAAGATAGGTGTATAGAAATAAATTTCTTCTAGAATGTCGTAGTGTTAGGTTGGTATCTGCTATACCTGTATATCTCAAACATGACAAATAATTTCAGGAAAAATGCAAATTAACTGTTTCCTGCTACCTTAGTTTTAATAGGGCCTGTGGGTATGTTTATGATCTATTTGAAGATCTCACCACCATACCCAATGGAAATGCTGTTCACAAGACCTTCCATTATTTTTAGACTTCATTCTCAGTGTGTATTTCATCTCTGCTTTTGACACGTATTTACCACGAAATTGGTTCCTGTCTGTTGTATGATTGAAGAATAAAAGTGATGTTTTAATTTCAAATTGTGTAATGTAGCGTGAAGAAAGTAAATAGATCTTATCTGTAGACATATTGTTGAATGTTAGAAATTGTGGTAGACATGCGCTGTACAGTTCCTCCCTTTTATATGATTATATCTTCACTATGGTTTAACGGCTTTAAATACACGCAAAGAGCCCATATAAACTAGCATTCATGAATACAAAAGCCTCACCTGAATGCAGATCTATTTCTGTATATCTAAAGTAGCACTACTCTAAACAAGGTGAATTGCTTTAAGTTTTAACAGTGGAACCAAAACTAAAGTCATGACAATAACAATAGATATCATATATATTTTTTATTTTAAAAGTATAAACACGCGATAAAATGTAAGGTTTAAGCTACGTTGTCAGTTACTTATCCTTCAATATCATGTTAAAAACTATCGTTATATTACTTATACTAGTTGCATTGTGTGCGAAGTTTTTCTAGGTTAGAGTATTCCAGTTAGCACTATATATGAATGTATTTATTGTTACAAAAGAAATTGATAAAATCGTAATCACTTAGGCATTCGAGAAAAGTAAATACAACTTCCATATATCAGGTTAGATAACAATAAGCAACGACTTTGACAATCTCAAACGTAAAGCTTATATGAAAATATACCAAAACGATTTTTGCAAACCAATGTAAACAACGCATTTTTTTTAGTTCATATGGTCGGATGTTTTCATTTATATACAATCAATCTGCCGCCATCAACATCATTGCTCGGATCACATCATGAGAATGGTTAGGACTGTGATCAATATTGCACCAAGAATGGTGTTGGCTGTGTTTATTCCGAGTGCACGTCGTCCGCTTGTTTTGGCACCTTCGTAGTCTCCGCTATCAGCTTTACTGCGGGACTGTAAACATTAAATGGTTTTATTTCAGTACAACCATTATGATAATTCTTTTCAATTAGCAACGTACACAAGTAACCTTAAACAATTGCTGCTTTGTAATCACATTATACTTGTATGTCAATTCCTTGTATGAAGATGGTCATAAGGTATTAGATTAATCATAACGTTTAAATGGAACTATTGTCAGCCACACCGAAAACTTAGTCTTATAGATAAGTCATTCTAAATTATCTGAAACTTTATATTCGGATACAAATAAAAAAAGAAAGATAACAACAACAACAAAAAAAAAAAAAAAAAAAAACGAGAAAATAGAAGGTTTTTTTAAAGATGCATAGATAAAAGAAGAGCGAAAATGATACTCACATCCAAAGAAGCGAAAATGGCGCATAATCCCACAGGCCATAGACAGAACAGACATCCCAAGATAGACCAAGCCAAATAGTCAGAGGGCGCTCTCTGCAGAGACATGTGTATGGATGCTGATATTGCAATGAACAACAAATTAAACAGAGGTCATTATTTTATGCCTTCATGAAAAATCGAACCTGGGACCTCTACTTCACAACTCCTACGCTCAAGTAATCAATTTAGAGAGAAACACTCTCTAGCCGAGCTATATATTGAAGCTACAGGGTTATATACTCTGGGAAAGAAGTCCTCTAGTGGCATTAGCAAGGCTTGCTTGAGCAAGGCAAAAGATCTTTTCCTCTAATGTTCCAATGTGTTTCTATATGGTCGCCATTGCGACTCATGTCACTATTCATTTCTATGCATCCAGATGAATCAAACCTTGAATTTTATCAATAATATAAAGCTCAACTGATTGAAATGAAACTATATTCTCTCTTGCTGAACAGTATATTGCAGTGTTTAATAAAATGATACAAGTTTACTATACTAAACTAAATATCCAAGCTTTCTCTGAACTGAAAACGCAATCATCTACTACATTTTGTGTGAATTGAGAGTAGGACCCAATAATGGCACCTCTTGTTCCATTGCATTAAAGCGACTTTATTTAGGGTATTGACCTTTATTATTCCGAACTACTTTCCTCTTCCAGACGCCTCACTGCATATCATTGGGTTTTTTTATATGGTGTCAGACCTCAGCCTAACCGAGTTTATGGGTACTTGGACAGCCTGCAGTCAGCAGGTGTCAGTCCGTTGTAAGCTTGATGCAACCCATACTACTACGTCTAGGGTATGACTTTGAGCATGCCATCACTGGCTATTGTTATGAATTAAACTCATTTTATATCAAACATGATAGAACATTTGTGCGATATTTGCGCGCACAAATATGCGATATCTTATTTCGTCCAATTTTCCCATCGTACTCTCATCATGCATACATCGTGCACACATCGTGCGCACTTCTCACACATCGTGTAACGTTTTGCGATCCCTCAAGTGTATGCATGAAATAAGACACTAAACACAAGATAATATGCCCTTGCGACTGAATTCCAAAGATGTATTTTCTATGCATAGTTAAGATCCTAGTTGCTTTATTAATTGGTTAACTTTTATTATTAAGCTTCTTGTCACAACTTAAAGGTCAATGAAGGATGGTGATCATATGCATCTAACTGAGGGGACGCTTTACAGTTGAATCATATGAAAACGCCATGTCAAAGATAAATTATCATGATAATTCGCTCGACCTGTTATACTTACAACGGAATTGGTCAGCCATTTTTCCTACCAGTGCTACATATACATATCAAGTAGGAAGAAGCGATATTTTGATGACCTCAACAGGTTTATAATGTGTAATACCGCTTAAGTATTATACTTACTGTCACTGCAACGATAGTCCGAGGTTGCTGCACAACAACAGTTCTTGAGGAAATCTGTTGAGATGGTGGCTGTGCATATTGTTGTGGTGGTCCTGAAACAAAAGACTCACTTTGCATATCTACTGGGAAAATGTAACCATATATCTTTTGAAGAAAAGTGGGATATGCTATATTTTCTTCTCTGATAGGTTTCAATAGATTTCAATATGCCGATGTCGAAAACATATATATTTAAAACTTGTATAACACTCTTTTTTTGTGTCCATTAAATTCATCTTTTTTTCCCCAATTACATTCTTAGTAGTTGAGCCGAGTTAAGCATCCATAACCTTAGTGATACTTGAACCCTCTACTACCCAAAGTAATAACTTACGCCTGTCTGTAATCCGAATAATTTGCTCGTTAAATAACAGACTCAGGTTTTATTTATATTTATATACTTAGCGTGATGAGGTTTTTTCAATTCCGCAAATGGTGAACTGGTCGTTTCCGTAAAGTAGTCATTGTACTATTCTGGGCCCGTATTCATGAAACCATTCTCATACTCAAGCATATATTTTGTGCTCAGGCGAACGTTTTTATAATTCACCTAAATAATGTAAAATAATACAAATGTCAAATTTAAACCTTGAATATAGCTATGACTTCAGCCCTTTCAAAATTGTTTTTAAATTTTCGGCAAAATAAGTCTTATTTATTCATTTTTAACTTAAACAAGACATAAGGCTTGAGCAAAAATTCATGCTTGAGCATGAGAACGGTTTCAAGAATACGGGCCCTCATCCCTTAAATGTCACAGAGTCAACGACTTGCTACACAAACGAAATGTATCATTGATTTCTTAACAAGTGAGTTACAACACTGAGTTTGCTGATGGCATGTTGGTGCGTACAATGTATTGAGAAACATTATTTTTCTTTTGTGAGCAAATATCGTTAGGATATCTGGTAATTTCGTTGCCATAACTCTGGTTTCCATTTCTTGATATTTACTGTAGATTCTCCTAGATTTTAATGACAGGTCTCGTTTCATTCAATTTGATTTTGAATTAAGATATCATGTATTACTCTTATGCTTTAGTCTCTTCATTGGCCTTGTAAATGAAACAGTAACTAGAGCAAGTCAGTGTACTGGAGTTACAATAATTATATAAAAAAAATGCTTTGAATATATGAGCACACGACTTACCTGGGTGTGTCGCGGGTTGGACGTAAGGAGGTGGCTGTCCACTGGGCTCCCCTATAACATTTATGTTTACTATATATTAAAGTATTTAAACAGCTTCGAAAGGCAATTACAAAGGTTCAGTAATCCAATGGGAAATGGACAGAAAAATGACATTTATGATGTTTTGTGCAATACATTGAAGCCTTTGACGATTCCGCAATTGTGTTTTCTAGCAAACACCATGGGGAAATAAAAGCAGAACTATCAGAGGAATTGGCAAATTGTCCCATTTGTGCTTGTAAATAACAAATGTCTCTGCACCTCGGGAAAAATGAAGTTATTCTCTTTGGTACAAAGCCAAAATTTAGCAAAATTAACTCATTTGAAATAACCGTGAATGGTCAATCTATTAAAACCTCAGATCAAGTACGCTATCTCGGTTTAACAGGCGAAAGTATTGTTGAAAACTTAGTGAAAAAAGTTAATTCCAGACTTCATTTTTATACAGCGAAAGTGTAAACCAAAATGTCTTATCCAAATTGAAGCTATTGAATATTGAAAACTGAACAAAACAATTATGTCTTAACCACATGTACAGTGTGTTTTATGAAATGTGTCCAAGTTGTATGTCATCTATTAGAAAGGTCTGTGACCGACATAATTATGGTACCAAAAACTGTTCATTGAATTTTCTTGTGCCTTCTTGTAAAGGTCACATTTTATTTTAATGGAGTCAAGGCCCGGAACTCGCCTCCTGCAGACATTCGTTCAGTTAATAAAAACCGAAACTTTCAAACCCGTGTTCAACATTTTTACAGAACAATGCTTCAAGAATGTTTTGTTTACTGTGATATCGTAATATTCTTACCAGACGCACGAACTTTTATTCAACATAATTTTAGTTTATTTTAGAAATATTATATTTTAGGAATAGTTTAACTTTATGTAATGATATTTGTATCCAGTGTCATATTGTAATGTTTTTATGTTATTCTGGTTAAAATAAGTATTGTTTTACAATACGTGTACGTGTATGTATGTAATATAATGTATGTTTTACCAAATAAATATATAATATATCTATTTTAGGAACATAAGTTCTTAATAAAATAGAGCAAGGGGTTTGCTCTTGTACTCTATTTTTTTGTTTGCAAGATGCAATCTTATTAAACTTATTAAGTTCCTAAATTATTAATAAAGAATACATTTATCATCAATGGTTCTTTGGAATGAAGAGACCTAAAAAAACAACAAATGTAGTGGACCTCCACAGTGCAATAAATATAAGTAAGGTAAAATAGTGTTGTTGGGTTTTGCGGCTGTAAACAGTTTATTAAGTCCGTCACTTAATACTAATTTGGAAAACCTGGTGATCGCGGAAATATCAATCTGTTGTTTGGGTCATCTCCTCTGCATTGCTATGGGTCCCACGACTTTCTTTTACACCCGTGCGGTATAGACTTCACACCTCGAAGAAACAGCAAAAAATCGACCTTGTTAGAATGAAGAGCTAGGTGACCTTGGTTTACTTCCTCCTTCCGGGGTGAAAAGCATGCGGTAAATCAGATATTGCATGATTTCCCGTAACGCGAGACTTTACACCATCGCTTCAATCCCCTTACAAACCAGGCAATAACTGATTCAAATCGTCTGGTGAGATTGAACACTGTTCAATACCCAGGGTTACAATTTTTAAAAACTAATCCCCTCGTGCTAGGGGCCATTTTATATCCAGATAAAAAGCCATAGATCGGACGTCAGCGTCTCGAATAGTGGCAGTATCATGCGAATCGACTTTCATTATTGTAAATATTTGCTAAAAAGGACTGGGGAAGTAAGTTACTTCTAAGCAAGATTTCTCTGCTGCCGGTTTAGATAATAAACTATCAAAATCATCCTGCCTTTTTATATATCTGAATAAAATCATTTCCCTGCCATTTGAAATTTTGGAAATTAAATTGCGTTTCTTACGTTATGCACCTTTTCTGTTATTTCGTGTACAATCTCATTTGCAGTCATGTCGCAGGCAGTCGTGCGTAAACTGTACGGTACCACGTTTGTACTATATTCCTTTAATACTTGAAATAACAGTACTTTTCAAATATATGTTATTATATATATTGATGTATCAGACATAAAATATTTGTCATTTTATATTCGATTAACCGTTTAGCCATTTATTACAACGTTTCGAATAACTGACAGGTAGTTTTTTTGCCGATTTGACAGAAGGCATCTAGCAACTAAATAGTCTAATTAATAAATAAATATCTATACTGGTGTTGTGAATGTAGGTGATGAGCTGACAGTCATACTAAGATTGGTTAAATGTCTTGTTACCTCACTAGTGTGCCTTTTTATATGACTAGGACTCTACACTGAACGGTAGTTATATTATTTTGATATGTTTTCTTATCAGATTGTCTCATTTGCTTGATTTTGCAGACCATGAATAAAAAGAATGTTGGTAGTGAGTGTGAAAGGGAGCCCACCAAACGGG